TGTGAACGAAAGGACGACTGGAAAGCTGGACGCAGCAGGCGTTGGTTGCAGAGTCCACGTTGGACCCGCGAGCGTTCAGTGAGCTGATCCGCACTGAGCCTTGCGCCTGGCGGTCGGTGAGAGGCAGCTGGTGTTGCCATCAGCAGTGTCAGTGTTACTACTGTCCTGTGTCCCTTCCTGTCCTGTCTCTTCCTTTTCTACACGGCACAATCCTTCTGCATTCTCTTCTGCACATAATTACTACTCTCTCTCTCTCTCCTCTCTCGTTATGAGTAACATTTCCAACGGCCCCCTCCTTTGACATTGCAAGGGCTTCCTCTTTGGACTGGTCATAGGACCACGACCCTCACCCCTTCCCAGATCCGCAGCATTCCTAACTCAGGTGCTGTGGGTGGTTTTTCCCCTTAATTCTGGCTTCTGTCCTGGGTGTGCTCCATCTTCGTGGTCGTCGCATCTGCCTGGAGATGCTCTTGGACTCCCCGTCTAGCTGGTGAACTAGGAACCCACACAGGGCACCACTGCTCTGCCTTCTCTGCATCCCTCCCCCAGGGGCACAGTCGCCACTCAGGACTTTGGTCCCCTGATCGCTAATTTCTTTTCCTCTTAGTATATGAGAAAAGAAGTTTCTAGCAAATCATAATTACTTGGTTCGCGGCTTGGTTGGATGCTGAGCGTCCCCTGTGTCTCTTCTCCATCATTAGGTTGGTGGTAGAAATTGTCCCGAATCACTGAGAAAAGGATACAAAAGGCAGTTAGAGATCTCGGACAGTGACCGGGGCTGCATCTCACAGCAACACATCCAGGCCATCCTTGACTCCAGTGTTTCAGTGGAACCTTCCACGCTCGGGGCACCCTGGGCCTTAGTGGGTCCCACATGGCCTCTGGCTTGACGTTGCTCCTGTTCCACATAGAGACACACCTCTCAAGATTTCCGAAAGGATGGACAGTGGAAACGTTGTAAATAGTGCTTAACCCCCGTCAAAACGATCAGAGAACAGTGAAAGCCAATTTCAAATAGATAATAAACGTGGGAAATGTTTTGTAAACTACATGCAACCTGGAATAGGGAGGAAGCGGAGAAATTTCTTCAGGACAAAGTACTGGGTATAGTAACAGAGAAATAGATGAAGAAAGAAAGAGAAAAACGAAGGAAGGAACGAAAGGAAGGAAGGAAGAGAAAGAGAGAGAGAGGATTTTGGTTTCACTGGGTCAGGGAAGGTGATTNGAAGGAAGGAAGAGAAAGAGAGAGAGAGGATTTTGGTTTCACTGGGTCAGGGAAGGTGATTCGGTTACAAAGAAACAGCGGTGAAGAGGAACTAGCACTTCCCCAGGTGGGGTGGGTGGGGAGGGATCCAGGAAACAAATGAAAAACTCTATCTGAAAGGCACAAACAGGAAGTGACTGTCACCCCAGCTGTTCCAGTAACCCAGGGAGGTGGCAGCAAGAGGTGCAGGAAACCAGCTGAGGGCACCGCGGCTCCAGAGCTGCATTGCGAGGTGACCCAGCAAACTCAGATGGAAGCAGAACCCGAGATATGAGAAAAAAACACCAAAGAGAGAGAAAGATGCCTCCCAGGAAGGACTGACGAGGGAGGCGCCTCCTGGGGGCAGCACCCACTGGGGGTAGGGGGAGGACAAAGACACAGAACCTGTGGGAACAACCCCAGGTTGCTTTTCCCATCCCTAGGACACGCTGATTTCATGTCCAGGTGAAATCTGGAGGACAAGGGGGAAAGCCGTGTGGGTCAGTGGTCTCGAGAACGTGAGGGAAGCCCGGTGTGCAGGCGTTTCAGTGAGGGCTGGGGGGCTTCTTGCACGGGATGACGGTGGGGACTGGGTGACAGGAGGGGGTTATGCACTGAAGATACCACCATTCCCTTGTACGCACAGCCTGGGAACATCTTGGTTACTAATATAATACTGACCCGAAATGTGTGCCCAAGTATTTGATTTCCTTTATTCCTTTCTCTGACCTGGATATGTCATAGCATAGAAATGAGACAGCTCTTATTTTATTTTAATCACAAACCAACACATCCCATTCTTCATTCTGACTTCTTTTACTTTTTCCCTGCTTAAAAACCCTCTTTTGTTTCTTTATTTCCCCCCAAATAAACTTCAAATTCCTTAGCACAGGATGTGGGGCCCTTGAGAATTTGCTCCTACTTCCCTCTCCAGAGGCAGCTCCCAAACCCTCCCTCCCACGCTCTGATGCAGGCACATGGTTCTAGAAGCCCACCCTCCCTCCACACGCTGGAGCTGTCACACGCTGCCCCTCCCTGTGCATGGGTATGTGCCTGGCTTCCCTTGTGACTTCACTCTTCATTGAGAGAAGCAAATTGACACAAGGTGCACTGAAAGGTAAATTTTCTAATATAATACAAAGAAAATCTCTTTTATTTTTGAACATGTCTACAAGTATAAGAGAGGGCTTACTCCCTTCCTATGGAAGGGCATAATTTATGCTTCTTTCCAAAAAATAGAGACTTAAGTCCTATGTTTCGTAGCACCCAAATCAGGCCCTGGCTGAGCAATCATTTGTGGGATTTCTTGTCACCCCCACTATGTATAAGCTCCATGGTGACATGGATCATGTGTGTTTTCTTGACCACTGTATTCCCTCTGGGCCTGGAATGTGGTAGTCACTCAGTGAAATATTTGTCAAATATCAATAGAATGAATGAATGAATGAGTTGGACTTGAATCCCCCAAAGTCATTGAGAGCTATAGTTACCATTTTGGAAGTTTCTGAGAATCTCATTTAAATCAGGATAAGCCTTCAGGTTACTCTTGCTGAACAATGTAGGCAGAAGTGACTCGTCAAACGTCTTCTCCAGCTCACTGAGGACATCGTACATTACTCTTGGCATTGGGACCAGGTTTCTACAAGTTTCTTGAAAATGCTTAAAAATATTGAATGAAGAATTATGCAGCTGTGGATTTATGGGTGATAAAAGACTCTCAGATCATAGATAAACCCTTTGTTCTCTTGTGAAATGTTAGAATTTTACATATATTTGGATAACTTCTTTAATGTTCTCCACCATAAAAGCAGACTCATACTTTGTGAGCCTGACTCTGTGACATTGTTGTACACTTGAGGAGAGAGTAATTTTAAAGAATAAAACTGGGTTCAAAGTTAAACGTTGTGCTGGGCTTTAAGAGCCTGGGGATGTTTCAGAAGTGGCCCTAACAAGTCATAAGAGACTGTTCTGTTGATTGGACAATAACCACTGCCCTCCCCCCTTGATGGCCTCTCCTGAAGGGCTCCAGGAAACCAAGTGACCCACCCCCCACCCCTCCACCCCCATGTAAAGCTGGCCAAGGGCAAAGAAAATTCATAAAGACATAGAGAAGCTTTGTCCTCAGTATCCCTAAGGGGACTCACCGACAACCTTCACCTGCATTCTAGACTCTGGAAATATCTAAACAAGAAACAATCTAAAGGGGGTAGCAAACATCTGCTTCCAAATTTATCCTGATGTGACACAACTTCCCTGTGGGTTTCAATAATCTCGGGCTCAAAATAAGCAGGCTTCGTAATGAAATGCTGCCTGGCTCACTTACTTTCATTTTAGCTTATGCTAGTATGTGTTGTATAAATGTACCTAAGACGCTCTGCACCTGCGAGGCCTCCCTGTTCCCTATTCTGCCATAGCTCCATCACTGCCTCCCGCCACATTTACTGTAGAAGATGCCTGTAGTAAATGTAGTGATGCCTGCTTCTCCTGTGACCTCCTAACTCATAGGAGGGTGCAGGTCCCCCCTCACAGGAGGCCCTTCAGCCTGTTCGTTGCACCCTGAAGCTTGGCATGCCATAGTGTGGAGCAGTTTACCATCTCAAGGAAGTTCCCCTCACTTACTTCAAACATTGTGCAGGTCCCCCCTCACAGGAGGCCCTTCAGCCTGTTCGTTGCACCCTGAAGCTTGGCATGACATAGTGTGGAGCAGTTTACCATCTCAAGGAAGTTCCCCTCACTTACTTCAAACATTTGCTCAGAGATGAAGTCATGGTCTCGGAGGATCATAAGGAAAGGAAATGGCCTTGTTATGGCACTTGCTATCTCCACCTTATTTTCTCTAAAATGTCTGAAAATGAGCTCATAGAAAATCTCCTCCTCTAGGTGCTGGTCCCCTGTGTTCCGGTCCTCTGGGACCCTCCTAAGAAAGAAGATATGACATGAAAATAAATATTCAGTTTCCAAGAGGTTTGTGGTGGCTAGAAGATTTTAGGCATAAAAGATGGTCCATGGAGAGCTAACATGTATAAAATAAGTGTTCTTGTGAGGAAACCAGAATAAATAAAATGTATTTATTTGGGGAATAATCAAGGGTGCAACAGAAGGAAACAGTGAGTTTAAGAAAGAGATCTGTATGTAGAAGCGAAAGGATTCACCCTTTTCCAATCAAACTATTAAGAGAACTTCACCCAAACCGTCTAGAGAAAATGTTGAATTAAAAATGTTAAAATCTCTATGGGAATTGATATTGAAGGAATCTTAAATATGCCACTCCAAAATATACTTCTTTTACATATTTTGAGATAGCTGTTCAGAGGGGCTGCAGACTCAAAAATAGCTCTAAAAAACTGTCCTTTGTGGGGGAGACTTGCATCTGTAAAGCAAATTTACATTAGTGAAGTAAACAACATCTGCAAACAGGCTTTCTCTGAGACCCCCCATTATCTGTTTTATCCAGATCTAGCAAGAGATTAACTCATAGGAAAAGGAGATTAAAAGTCTGACACTTTTAGAGGTCTGACAGAGAAACTTTTACCACGGGCTACCATCTTTTCTTTCTGAGGGCTGCTCCCTGAGAGATTTCCTCTGCATACCAAGATGGCCTTTGCCTACCATGCCTCGTCTCCCCCCACTATCTCATAATCTTCCAAACCTTCCCCCCACCAGCAACTGCAAGCCCCTGCCCCTTTATGCAGTATTAAAAACTTCAGTCATCTGGCCCCTGTTCGAGTTGCATATTTTGTGTGACTTCTGTGCACATGCGTGCACATAATAAATTAGTATCCCTTTTTTCCTGTTAATCTGTCTATTGTCAATTCATTTCATCAGACTTAGTCTTGTACCTTCAGAGGGAAAGTTAGAACTTCACTACAATATGATACTGACAGCTAATTTTATGTGTCAACTTGGAGGGTGTTTTAGGATAAGAGTAACATTTAAATAGGCGAACTTGGTATGAAAGATTATCTTCCGTAATGTGGGTGGGTCTCATCGAATCAATTAAAGGCATGAGTAACAAAAAGACTAGTCTCCCCAAGTAAGAAAGAATTTTCTAGCAAACTGCCTTCAGACTGGAATTGCACCATTGGTTCTCCTGCGTCCCTAGTGATAACAAAAAAACTGCTCTGACCAGGTTGGCTAAGTTATAGTGCCTTGGGAGATCTGGGATAAGCCAGTAATCACATCCACCTGTCCTGGAAAACGTTGTCATAAGACCATTTTTGCTTCAGAAGCAGACTTTATGGCACCAAAAATTCATAAAATAACCCAGAATGCTTCTTATTACCCTCACCCTAGACCCATGCATGTAGGATGTAACCTAGTAACAATCCCAAATCTATATGTCATGTACAGCTAATAGAAAACCCAGTGAAGTAACTAGGTGGGGCTGTCCCTTTCTCTCTTGATCCTTTTTCTTTCTTGTGATTATAAAATGTTAAGCTCTGCTGGCTCTCTTCAGAACGTCAGCTAATAGAAAACCCAGTGAAGTAACTAGGTGGGGCTGTCCCTTTCTCTCTTGATCCTTTCTCTTTCTTGTGATTATAAAATGTTAAGCTCTGCTGGCCCTCTTCAGAACGCCTGCTGGCTCTCTTCAGAACGTATTTCTCAGGGCGATCTGACTACGTGTCTCCCTGGTTGCAATCATCATATTGGCTCAATACATCCTTGCTATATGTATTTGGCCTCAATTTCTCTTTAGGTCAACACTGGTCTACTGTTCCACATTACAGATTTTGGAATTGTCAGCCTTTCTAATTGTGTGAGCCAATTCCTTAAAATAAATCCCTTTCTGTGTATATATACATCCTATTGGTCTGTTTCTCTGGAGAACTCTGACTAATACAGATTTTTAAAAAGTTACAAAGAAATAAAAAACCAACTGAGATATTATAGAACCCAACACTGAACTGCAAGTCTTATTAGTTAGCGACAAAGAGAAGAAATCTCGGGAAGGTGTAACTGCAAAGGGAAGAATGGCATTCTGCATCATAAAGTTGGCTCAAAGACTCTCATCTAGTAAAGTCAGATTCAGAATAGTCACAGGAATATCTGTCTTTTTCTCCAGTCCAGTATGAAGAATTGTGTGAATATTCAAAATGAGGACACATTGTTCTCTATCCAAATTTGCCTGTAGAGGTGATATATGGAGACCTCTAAGACCCCCAGATTTCAGACATTAAGGCCACACCTGGGAAAAGTAATTTTTAAACTCAAAAAAGTTTGTAATTTGGGCCGGACCAGTGGCGCACTGCTACAGTGCGCCGCTTGGGGGTGCGGCGGCACTCCCGCCGAGGGTTCGGANCGGGCGCAACACCGAGGGTTGCGATCCCGTTGCTGGTCCCGGTCCGGTACGGGCGTGACACAGGGTTGCAATCCGTTGCCGGACACGAAAAAAGACAAAAAGGAAAAAAAAAAAGTTTGTAATTCTGATTAAGTTGTTCCCCTTGCTAATAATATCCTAACAAACTTTTCAGTATTTCTAAATGACGTAAAGATTTATAGGATTTTCTATCCCACCATAAGAGGGTCGTTGGGACTTCCTGTTCCCCACACGTGCCAGGATAGAATAAAATCCCATTTCTCCATTGAATCCCTTTAAAAGGGGGGAAAAATCCCTGGTGAAAGATGGCTGATTAAAGACCAGTGTTTTTCTTCTCTCTCACTAGACTGTCCCCTAAAATGATAGTAAAAGAATTAAAGTCACAATGACAGAGTTAAAGAATTATATTAGAAATTTAAATCAATGTCTGAAAGAGAAATAGTGGAGCACTAATTGCTATTGGGGGAATGATGCTTCCAGAGTCAGAAAAGGGTCCAGTGTGTCCTGCAGACTCCTGGAGAGGTAGTGCTGGTTGGGAAGGAGATACAGGAATGAAAACCAAGGGTTGAATGTGTCCTCCAAAGGTTCATGTATTAGAAACTTAATCCACACTGTGACAGTGTTAAGAGGGTGGGAAATCCTATTATGGTAGTTGAAAGGTGGGGCCTTTAAGTGGTGATTAGATTAGGAGGACTGTACTCTTGTGAATGGATACATCCATTCACGCAGTAATAACTTGATGTTTTAATGGGTTGTAAAGGGCGTGGTTCTGGTGGCTTTATAAGTCTGGTGGCTTTATAAGGACAGGGAGTGAGCAGGTTGGCTCTCTCTTGCTCAGCTATTTTGCTATGTGATAACCTGCATTGCTGGAGAATCACCACCATCAAAAAGGCACTCATCAGGTGTGCCCCTGGATTACAGACTTCCCAGTCTCCAAACTGTAAGAAATAAATTTCATTTTCTTATTAATGACTTAGTTTCAGGTATTCTGTTGTAAACAATGGAAACAGACTGGTACAGATTGTTTGAATGGCAAAATACAAAACAATCTGCTTTCCAACACAGAACACCTACATCCAGGCAGGAGACTGGAGGTTTCTTCTTAAGAAAAATGTAAATGACTCAGGGCTGGCCAGTTAGCTCAGTTGGTTAGAGTGTGGCCTTGTAACTCCAGGGTCAAGGGTTTAGTTCACCCTTCTGGCCAGCCGCTGAGAAAAAAAAAAAAAAAAGAAATGACTATGAGAAAAGGCCTTCACCTCCACATTTGAAATTTCCCCAGCAGAGCCCACAGGTTTGCAAGCCCATCTCACTGAATGGCATGCCAGGTTGGCTTTTCGGCACCCCACCCTTAAGTACGCACGAAGAACAAGATGCCACAGGCATTTGCAGAAACCTAAACATGAAAAAGTAGAACCAAGATGAGCAAAGCGCAAAAACTACCCCAGCAGAAACAGAGATGGTGCAGGGAACAGAAGAGAATTACCAAAAAAAAATATTATCATACTGACATGAGACTATATTGTGCCCAGAGGCCATGCAGAAAATAAGGCAGAGGGCTTAGAAATTTAAAACGATTGCCGAAATTAAATTTTTTAAAAGTTAACTAGAATGGTGATATAATAAAGGGAAGAGAATTTCCCGGAACATAGTAGGGGAAGCCCTAAAGTAAAGTAGGAAAAGCAAATCTGAAACCCTAGAGGTCTAAAATAGTCTAGATGTAGAGGTAAAGGAAATGACTAAAAAAATGTAAGCCCTCTTCAACTATTCACGTGTGAAGGTGAAATAGATATTTTGTTGTGCAAGGACTCAGGAACTGTGCCACTCACGGGCCCTCTGTGTTGGTCGTACAGTTTTCAATGTTCTTTCCTTCTAAGCAAAGGTCATCTTGAACCTCCCTGCCTCCTGAGTGACAGGTGTTTTTCTGGATGACTTCAGAGGCAGCTCCTGGTTAGGCATGCTCTCTGTTCCGCTGCCCATCACTTCAGATGGCGGCTGCTCATCAGCCAGAGTCCAGGGTGAGGGTCTCCTGAAGCAGAGTCCCAGTGACCCACTGAGATTTGGAAGAGTTGTTTGTTCCTATGGAATAATCCCCTCCATTCTTACTGACACACTGTCTGGGACAAATTGTTTGATGATGTACTACAATAACAGAATCAAGAAATTAATACCAGCAAAGGAGGGTCTCCTGAAGCAGAGTCCCAGTGACCCACTGAGATTTGGAAGAGTTGTTTGTTCCTACGGAATAGTCCACTCCATTCTTACTGACACACTGTCTGGGACAAATTGTTTGATGATGTACTACAATAACAGAATCAAGAAATCAATACCAGCAAATCAGAATCAAGAAATTAATACCAGCAAAGTTCTCATGTAAAAGTGGAAGTCATCACTAAAACCAGTTAAAATACTGATGTCTAAAAATTGTAAATTATTTTAGAACAGTAATTCTTGAAGTGTGGTCTAGGGACCCTCTGGGATTGTGCAAGACCCTTTTAGGTGTCACCAAGGTCAAAACTATTTTCACAGTAATACTAAGATATTATTTGCTGTTTTCTCTCTCATTCTTCCACACATGTACAATGTAATTTTCCAGAGGCTAT